TATGTGGTTTTTATTGGCTAACGATTTCAAACAAACTGGAGTTTTATCTCCTTTTATATTTACGTTCAAGAGTTTTTATGTATTTCGACACCCTTTTGAGATGCTAAGAAATAGACAAATTCATTTTCTTAAGAATATGTATATGAGATTTGTCACCATTAGCTTCTTCATTTATAATTTTATAACAACATAAATACATGTCATCGAGAGGCAAAATTTATAACCTGCTCTCCTCTTGCCTATATGCTAAAGATTTGTCTGAATTTAGCATGATTCAAACGGATCAATATTAGAATACAACTATATTGCATTTACTTCTTTGTTATATGTGTTGAGCCCCTTCTCCATTGGTCCACATAAATAAAATATGAATAATGCTCCTTGTATAATGTTGAATTACAATGTTGGGTTACAACCTCTCAAAAGGGAGGTGGGGCCCACTATTATTTTAATCTCGGGACACACCTCCCTTGTGAGAGGTTGTAATCCAATGTTATAATTCATGTGTTGTACATATAACATTGTTTATAAAATAAAGGACCAGTGCAACTTACATGCATGATAATCGCTGGTTTGCATCTACGTAACGGGAAATTCGTGCCGAACATATTAAAGTTGTTACCTTACACTAGTCATCATTTGTAAATCTATTGACATTTTTAAGTTCACATATTTGATTAAACACATCGAGCTAAAGCCCGTGTCAACCCACCTTAACAAACATTTACCACAACGTTAAATCAAGATTATAATTAACACTTTAAAACTCATAAATCATAATAAGCTAAGGGGTCCACAAAACCAACTGCTTGTAATGTTCAAGTCCAATATGCAAACAAAATGTTTACTGGGTCCTGATAAGCAATTATTTTTGTGGGGTGTGTTATCAATACCAGAATTGAACCGTTGATTGTGACCCTCTACCGGTCCGACCTTTCCTACTAAACACGTTATTTTATTGCTGGGCAAATTGGATTGTAAAACAAGTTATTAATTTATGCAATCGAATTTGGCCCTGATTTAACTTAAAAAGTTAATAAAAATTTGAGTAATTAATTTTAATCAAATATTTCATAGAACTTACCACTTTCATCAGTTTTTCAATTACATATTTAATCAACTTTTATCAAAATCTAATTTTTAACAAAAACTCGACTTAATATTTTGCCATTATTTATAAGCAATCAGAGAGTAAATCCATCAACTATGGTCGTAATTCAATATTCGTGCGAAAAAGCTTGACCCACATTTCATATTGGAAAAAATTAAATACAGATATGCTATAGAAAAAATTGTTGGAAAAACTGAATACAAACTGTGGCATAAATTTTGAGTGGGACCCATTTGATTATTTTGGAAGATCGAGATTGATTTGTGTTCTACTCTGCGAAATCATATATTTACTTGTTAAAAATATTGGTCGGTGAATGAAAATCTTTTCTAATATGGTATCAGAGCAGACCCCGTTTTGCAATGTTGGGTGCACCAAATATCAATTTGTTCACAGTTGTTTGACATAATCCATGCTGTGCGTGAGGGGGCATATTAGAATCCTATATTGGCTGATAACGTTAACACAATCCACTTAATAATGTGATAACAATCCTCCCTAACAAGTCGATTTTGTTAGGTTGAGTTAGGTTCAATATCCTTTCTAATATGTCAAGAAATATAAATTGTATTATTATGGTCTTGTAAATATTACAATGTAGAAGACCATATTTATAGAGTTACAAATAACAATAAAAGGAAATAAATATAAAAGGAAAGATTACACAATCAACTAGTAATCCAACACTAAAAGGAAATATTATAATGGAAAATATTCCATATTATATTTCTATATTTAACACCATCCCCTCAAACTCAATATGGGGGTAGAATATTGAGTTTGAAGAAATCGATCAAATTAAATCTTCCAAATTGAAGAACTCCAAGCACTTGAGATCATTGTCATCAGGGGCGGAGCTAGCCTTTTAAATTAGGGGGGTCCCGGAGTTGAAGGGGTAGGGGCTCACGGGGGCCCCGAAAATTTTTTTTGAAACATTATCTGTTAAAATGAGGAAAGTTGGTACTTTGTGATGGAGAAATGAAATAAATGAACATAAATTAATGTATGAAGACATCACAAAAAAATCAAGAAACATATAAAAGAAACTACTAATCTTTTGAAATATTTCTCCATCACCGAGTCTGAGGATTGATGAAACTCTTTCACTTATAATTGATAAACAATACAACTTCACAAACAATTGAATGGGCTGGATTAGGAGATTAAAAAAAAAATTGAGGCCAAAAAATTTTAAAAAAAATAATAAAAAAAAATTTTTCCAAAAAATTGGGGGGGTCCAGGACCCCCCTCCCCTCCGCCCCTGATTGTCATTGATGATGGAGATAAGTGACTTATTGTTTACTGGAAGAAAATATTTGATAGACACAATTTGTTTTTATTTGTTATTATTATTTTTTTGTAACATACGAAAACCCCGAATATTTCAAGGGGCAGGGAAAAAGCCGATAAAGTTCAAGGTACCGACCCTTCAAAGTTTTTGTTTTTTTAACATACAAAAAACCTCTAGTTTGTTGAAGAGGCAGGGGGAGTGTCGGTAAAGTTCAAGGTACCGACCCTCCAAAATTTAACATAAGAAAACCCCTGATTTTGTCAAGGGGTAAGGGAAGAGCCGGTAAAGTTCAAGGTGCCGACCCTTCAAATAAAATAGAATTAAATTCCCAAGAAAAAGAATTTTTTTTTTTCTTTTTTTGTGTAGTTGATGTTTTATTGTGATTAATAAATTATTTGACTTGTAATAACTTGGCTAACATTCAGTAAGCTAGTGTCCGGTATATGTGTATACGGTATTTTTGTTAGTTGCAAATTCGATATGTGCAAATCCGGTATGTGTTGCAAATCCAGTATGTGTTCATTCGATATTTGTTAAGTCAGTATTCATTCACTATTATTTAATCTAACAAAAATTAAATATGGACACGTGAACTCTAATGCACTAAATATGCCACAAAATAAATGATCTTGTTATGATCATAAAACATTCGTGGACAATGCAAAACATTTACAAAAACATGTTAAATTAAAAAAGGGAATTTATTTAACATAAATACATATAAAAATCTTAACATACCCAATAAGCCATACCCAAACAATTTCAGAACTCCGTTAAAAAATAAATCAGGAACCCATTACAATCTAACTGATGAATCATAGCATTAATTACAAAATTATACTTAATTAATAAGAGTAATTAATAGGCATAAATAAATAAATATGGAAACCAACTCAAAGTAAGCCGTTACCTATTCTTTCCT